AGGATGCCGTTGGCCTTTTTGGCCACCTGGGTACACTGCTGGCTCCTGTTCAGCCAGCTGTCTACTAAGACCCCCAGGTCCTTTTCTGCCAGGCAACTTTCCAGCCAATCTTTCCCAAGCCTGTAGCGCTGCTGGGGGTTGTTGTGACTCAAGTGCAGGACCTGGCACTCGGTCTGTCTTGTCGAACCTCCTACAATTGGCCTTGACCCATTGATCCAACCTGTCCATGTCTCTCTGCAGAACCTTCCTACCCTTTCTACCCTTGAGCAGATCAACACTTCTGCCCAATAAATATACTTTGTGTAAAGAGTAGAAGCATTGGTGGCTGAAGCTCCTCTTCAAAAGGACATGGATAGTATGAGCATCAATCATAAGATCATAGAATGGCCTAGGCTGGAAGGGGCCTTAGAGATCATTTTAATCTAGCCCCCTGTCTCCAGGGACGCCACCTGTTGACTAGATCAGGCAACACATGGGGACTGAACGGGAATCGAACCCGTGACCTTGGTGTTGTTAGCGCCATGCTCAACTGTCTGAGCTAACCGGCAAATTTCTTTTTGAAACCTAAACAGTTCTTCTTAACTCTGATGTGAAAAAGTTCTTTTGAGCGCTAAGCTTTTTGTCTTTTTGCTGAAAATCCCCAAACAGTTGAAAACAGTCCAAAACCATAAAATACTACTAATTACATAATTATTAATGGAATTATAGTTGATTATTAATATTAAACAACTGAATAATTACATAAGTTAATGCTTTCTAATAGTACATCTTTGCTAGTTAATTTATGACAATGTAACAAGATACTCAAGTAAAAGTTCTGAACTGTACATTAAGGAGAATTTTATTTACATTCAAGAAAATAAGAGCCATTTATGAACAAAAAAGGTGAAAACATACTTTTACATTTGAAATAAACTGAGGTTTTTTACATTAATTCAAATAGTATTATGTCTTCAGTAATTCCTACAGATAGATAATTCCTGAAAAGAGTCCCCGTAACAAGCTTCTGCTCAAGCTTGCTTTCCCAAGCAGGCTTACTGATTAGTTTGCAAATTCCTTCTTCAAAACACAGCTGTCTTAACTGAATATGCCAAAGCTATCAGAATAGCTTTTTGAACTTGATGCCCAAACTAACGTAAATCCAACAGTACCATTATTAATGGGCAGTTTTTCTATATGTAGGTATTAATATAAAAATCTCCTGGACCTCTAAATCATACAAATCACGCCAGTCTCCAGGTCTTGCATGGAGAAAGGTGGAATGGATCAAAGGAAATGTTCTGTCATGGTTTTGTATTTATAGAGGGCAGCTTTATTAATACAATGTAAAGAATATACAGCTCTTTCATCAACAAGTCATATGTGTATTTATATAGGGATGAATTTCATACATTATGTGCAGCATTTACAAGCAATATCCGAACATATGAGAAAATCTCACACAGTTAAAGTATCTGCAGTGTATAAGTAATTGATATCTATCATTCAAAATCTATGACAAATCTTTCTGGCACCTAATTAGAATTCAGTATCTGTTTTAAATCAGCAAATGGGCAAGAAGTAGTAAGTATCTATTGTTTTCCTTCTCTGAGTCTCTCTTGAATCCTGGCAAACTTCACCAACCAGCTATGAGATCTGTCTGTGAGGCTTTCCTTTCAGCTCAGCTTCCCAAACCACCCCAAACCTGCAAAAGAATTTCTAACTAAATTTTCTAGGCAGGTCTGACATTATTCTCCTATGTGATTTCAGCTCATGAACGTATATGGAAGTTGATTCTTCCAGAGGAAATAATCCAACAGTATCAATTCTTAAAGGATTTCCCATGTAATTTCTTGGCACTGGGCCACTAATGGTCTTAAAAGTCGTGAAATATTATATTAAATAGAGAAAATCAGTCCTTTTCAAAGCAGTTAGTTGTCTAGGCCAGCATTACCCATTTGCTAGGACCAAAGCAGTTTTTGGCTCAAGAATGACGGAACTGTTTTCTGTTAGGATAAAATAATTTGTGGAGGGAACAGTGCTCTGCTGAGAGAAGGCCCCTGTGGAATTTCTGAAGGACTGAAAGTGATCACAGAATTCATAGCTTTTTGGTGAAATGCATAATGGATTTTGACCTCACCTCATTAAACAGCAGTACATAATGCATTACTTATCAAACCCTCAACTCACACAGTAAACAGGATAAAAAAGGAATGGAGAACAGAAATCAAAAGAATTCTGTCTTCTTGTTCAATTACATGTTTCTGGTAATCATCCTGCTTGGAATTAATTTGACAAAATGCATATGTCTAAACTGTGTAGGTATGTACATATGAGAAATCCATCCCAGGCTCTCTTTATTTCTCTTTTTATGGAGAGAAATTAAACACATTTAAGGTGCGATTCACTGGATGTCTAAAACATACATCTAAAACACATCAGATAAATAATTCCTAGCAGGGCTGGGCTTATCTCCGTTGACCATAAAGAGAGTCTAGATTAACTGGCTCAGATACTGAAGGCAAGATTGTTGGTGCTGTAACCCTGTAACATGAATCTCAACCTCAGAGACCACTATGATGAGGCTGACATTAAAATGTGAAGATCTGAGAATTAATTTTCTCTTTACAAATGGTGTTTCTATGACAAAATTTACCTTGAAGGTGTAGCAAACAGCAACACAAGGAACAGGCAAAGCATAGATACCACAGCTAGAGATTTGTTGTTGAAAGCTCAGCTAACTTCATGAGACTGTGTAGTCTTTGAAGAACAGTCCATTTTCCACAGCCATATTGAAATAACCTTTTAGATGTTCTTAGACGTGGATTTTGTCTCCTAAAAAAACCACAGAAAAACCAATCTGTCTTGTGAAGGTGGCTTCTGTTACTATAGAAATTTCTGTAGCTGTTATCTATCTTATTTCTTGTTATACTGACACTTAACAAGTATGTGTAATTAAGGAAGCAGTAAGAAACTTGGATCTTACCCTATGTTAGGGTATTAGATATTTGTACTATACCTGAGCAAGAACTGCACATTTTATTTCTCAGTTTGTCTGTTGGTGTCACCAGGTGACAGTTACGGCATCCTGTTCTGTAGGTTACAGTGTTCATTTTTTTCCTAAGCATTTTCTGAAACTCATTTATGTATAAATGTCCCAATTGGTCTTATTTGGCAGAGTCTGGTAAAGTAGGTTTAAGATAAAGGGCAACGTCTGTGTAAGTGGTAAGCTATGTAATACAATGATTCGCAGGAGAATAGCAAAGAAGAATAGTAGCAACTATATAAACTGTGCCTTATAATCAGCAATAGGTGCTTTAGTAATAGAGAGAACTGAAAAATATAATCTGATATTTTAAATGAATGTGTTTCATGTGGTGAATATTAAGTAATCTTTTGTAAATCTACAACTCTTTGCAATAATGTTGAGCCAAGTTATTTCAGAATCTGTGATTTTCCACTAATAAATCATTACACCATTTTCAATTCTTTCAGCAGATGAAAAGATTTATATGCATAGAATCATGAGCAACTGAGACTGATAACAGCAAAAAATTAATTAATGTCCCATCATGGTGTTAGCACAGGTACATTCTGAACTGCTGCTGAAGTCTCATTTTTAAATACATATAAGCAAGAAATTCAAAGAGTTTTGAATGGAAGTGCAGAAATAAGAGGAATATTGCATATGACAGGACATGAACTCCTGCTCAGTTGTAAACTTATATTGCATTCTCTAAGTTGTTGATAGGAAGCTATGGGATCAAAAGATGACATCTTTCTAAAGATAAGACTTAGAACTGAGAGCCACGAGCCTGTTACAGACACAAGATAGTTCTGCAGGACACCTGAAATGAGTTTCTTTAATGGCTTAGAGTAATTCAGCAGCTGAGCAAGGATATAATTTAATCACATTTTGAAAGCTATGTGACGAGAGCACAGTGATCCCATTCCCAGGAGTAAATTCAGAATTGAGAGGAGATCTTGTGTGAAACCTGTGTGATGGCACTCTCCTTTGGGAACATTATATTGTAGTATAGCTGACTAGTTTTTGGATGTAAGATGCCTATGGATATACCTGGCTCGTGGGAAGTGCTTGTAATACTCATTTTCTTTTTGACATCCATGGTTGGGTTTGGGGTTTTTGGTTTTGTATTGGTGGAAATGAGACAGATGTTGCCTAGTGTTGTTCTTCAGCTGCTGAGATTTTTTTCTCTTGGCTGAAGTAGTAAGCTTTAATGTATAGTTTGAATTCTTTGTGATCTCTGTGCTGTAAAGGTAGAAGTTAGTGAATATCATCATGTTTTCAGGAAATGCAACCTGTCAAGTTTTGTTTAAATTCAAAGAATACTTCTTTAAGAACTGTAATATAGAGCGAAAGAAGTTGTTTAAACCTGGTAATGTTTTTATTGATAACATATCTTTTAATATGAATATCTGATAAATTGAGAAATCATTATTTCCTTTACACTATTAAGAACTATTTCATGTCTTTAAATATAGATTGTGAAGCTTAACATATCTTGGCACTCCAGTAATACACAGTTATTACATTTTATTACTGAACTAAGGAAAGAATATGTCAAAATGTTTTTAAACCTGTGCTTGCAAGATGCCGTTACCACTTCTAGCTGTTTTTACAGTTTAATAATAGGGGGTTTTGTGAGCCGCAGATTGTCGTATGTTCCTATGAAATATTTTGTGATGGAACAAGTAGCATATTATGAAAAATGGGAGAAAAAATGTTGCTGTTCTTTATAGAATAAAATAAATTCAAGCCTTCTGAAATGGCAAGTGATGCAGTTCATATATTAAAACGTCACATCACGTGTACTAAAAAATAAGATATAAGTGTAATTTAAAAGGGATGTGATAAAAATGCTTTCCAGGTAAAAAGTCATTAGAGTTTCTAGTTTCTAGTAACTTGCATTTACAAATATGTCCTTGTATTTTCCTTGGAGGTTTATATATATTTTGAATTTAACTTAAACTAAGCAGTCCTTTTTCTTTTCTTTACATAGCAGATGGTACGTGAACAATACACTACAACAACACCAGGCACTAGCCTAGAGAGGCCGAAGAATGAATATGTCTACAAAATTGGAATTTATGGCTGGAGAAAGCGTTGCCTATACCTGTTTGTTCTCCTCCTGCTTATCATCCTAGTTGTGAATTTTTCTTTGACAATCTGGATTCTTAAAGTGATGTGGTTTTCCCCAGTAAGTGATGTCTTTAATTTTCTGGTTTTTTCATATTCTCTTCTCTTCCCTGCCTCACCACTTCAGTTATGTTGCATGTACATAAACTTCTCTGTATGAAATAGATGGTTCTTTTTTCTTCTTTCTTTACTGTAATTTGTAATTAATTTGAAAGTATATAAGGAATACCTAACTTTGAACTTTGTAATCTGTAGTTTTTGTAGTGGTAATAATCTTTAAAATACTGAGGTTGTTGATACCTCATACTGAGGTGAATTCTAAGCATTCTAAGAGAATGTATGTTACTGCTGTCTCATAGTCCCTGTTTAGTTTATATTTTATAAATGTGCTTGCTCTTATTTTATCTTATATGGAGTTCCTTAGCATTAAAATACTGCTGACAGTTGCTGTTGTTTCATAGCTTCCTTCTCCTATTCGTCAGCATCCAAAATTTAACGATTTATTTTCGCAATTAATTACAGCTCAGAGGTAATTATTATGACTGTGTGCTTGAGGCTAAGCAGCTATATTATTTGGGAATAAATTTAATAACTTTCCACTGTCATATATTTTAATATTTATAATGTAATTTTACATGTGGTAGATTAAAGGGTAACTTTCAGAAGTCTGCAAGATGTAGCTTTAGTCAGAATGCAATAAAATGCATCAGTGAATATTGAAGCTAAGCTAATCTATTCCTAACATGCAGTCATGATACAGAGATTGTTTGAATAGACTTGTTACAAGAAAAAACGTAATAGTAGATTCCTACAGCTCCATCTTTGCTACTTGTATTAAAGTTCACGTTGTCTATCATTATGCCTCTGTCACTAAATGAAGGCCATTTTGCCTTCATAGAAACATTTTTGTACTCTTCATTCTCTCTCTTAGGTTAATTATAGGTCCTACTTGCTAATATAGTTACTAATGCTTGAATTTCTGTCAAGTTTCTTCCCCCACATAAATTCTTTTCGGCGCTGTTACTGTCATGAATTACAATGCAGGACATCTTAGATCACATATAATTTTTCTGTTTCACAGTTCACATAGAAGAGGTGCACTTAGTGACTGCACATCATGAATCACAGAGAACATGGATAACTAAACACTGTTTTCTCTGTGGCTCAGTTTTACAGTTTTAAGGATTTTTTCAAATTATTTTTTGTTGATTTGGTTTCTTTCTATTGACCTGTATATTTCTTCTCTAATACCAGTTAGACTGAAAAAATAACATCCAGAGAAGTGCTACTAGCCTCTAGGAAAGGGTGTAGACATCAACCGCATGTAGAAAGTCTGGAAATATATTTGAAGCATCATAATCCTTTCCTGTGTCTGAGGAAATACCATTTGTAAAGAAGGACTGTAACAGTCACAGAAATTAAAAATGCTATCATCAAACTGTTTTCCAGATGGAATTTGGAAGTGTTTATGCCTCCAAGATTTTGGTTATTGCTTAAAAAAGAGAGATAACAATATATTCTCAGAAATAGATTCTTATGGTTCTTGAGTTCCAAGCTTGACAAGTATTTGCTGTTTAAGAAATCAGTTGATATCTAAGTAAACATTCCCATTATTGGGAAGAATTTAAAAGTAATCATGAAATACTGCCCTATGCAGTTATCAGTTATTTGGCAAATGTTATTCTGTAATCTGTGACAATACTGTTTGGATTTATTAATTATATGTTCTACACACTGATCTAGTTGAGAGGCATCCCTGCCCATGACAGGGAGGTTGGACTAGATGATCTCTAAGGTCCCTTCCAGCCTAGGCCATTCTATGATTCTATGATTGTATGATTCTATACATATATTATTTAGAGAATACACTACTTATTATGTTTAATATTAGTAATAGATACTGTATTTTTAGCTAATACTTTAAAAGCATTCAGATCTAGTTTTTAAAAAAATACATTAAAATTTCATCCTTGTTAACAATATTAGATTATTAATAGCTAATATAATATTAGCAACTGTTCTGTATAAAACAATACAAGAAACAAGTTGTATTCTTACCAAAGGTGATAAACATGTTTGGGAAAAACATGATAAACATTTCAAAGTGCAATTCAGAAGAAGTACTTAAAGAAAACTTTAAACATAGCATGACTGTAGTATGTAGTTTTATTAGGAAAATAGTTCTGCCATATAGTACACGGGGGTGTTGGTGCTTTAGTGATTGACTGGCATAGTTCTATAGCACAGCTCTTTCAGGGGCCTACTGAAAGTTGAAAAAAATTTTCTTTAGACATCAAAGTTTCTTTTACAGGATAAAAATTATTTTCTTTTTCTGTGAAGTGTCCTTATATCTTTCATTATATAAGAACTTACAGTATACACAAGTCATGTGCTATGCCTATTCATAGATTCACAGACTAAAACAATAATAACATTATGAACAGAGCTTCAGCAGGCTCTGGTGTAGAATTAATCCGTGCACACATCTCCTGCCTCAATCTCAAAAAACCAGACAGTGTGATAAATAGTAACATATAAACTAAGCTGATGAAGGAGAATGTGAACCAGACATAGATATGCTGCAAGATGGATAGATTTTAATCTCCTTGTAGGATTTTGGAAGGACGATGAGACTTTTCTAAACTTCATTGTTTGAGAGGCCTTCAGCATTAAATTAACATGACTAAACTGACCAGAATATCATTTTGTTTAGTTAGAGACTCAACAAGAAAGGTCAAGGCTCCCTTGGAACTTGGTCTGGCTAGAGAGGTGAAAGAGAACAAGAAATTTTTCAAATACATCAATGAGAAAAAGAAGAGGAGGAAAAAAGTGGGGTCACTGCTAAATGAGGTGGGAGATACGGTAAAAAGGATGCAGAGATGCCAGAATTGCTGAATGCCTTCTTTGCCTTAGTCTTTACTCCTAAGACCAGTCCCCACAAATACCAGTCACTGGAAGTAAGGGAGCAAAACTGGTGTGAGGATGATTCTTCACTGGTTCATGAGGATTTGGTTGGAGAACTGTTACAAAAACTGAAAATACAAATCCATAGGCCCCAATGGGGTGCATCCATGTGTACTGAGAGAGTTGGCTGAGGACTGGAAAAAGGCTAGTATCACTCCAGTCTTCAAAAAGGGCAAGAAGGAAGACCGTAGCAACTACAAACCAGTCAGCCTAACACTCATCCCTGGAAAGGTGATGGAGCAGCTCATTCTGGAGGCCATCTCTAACAAAATGGAAGAAAATAAGGTTTTCAGGAGTAACCAAAATGGATTTACTTAGGGGAAATCCTGCCTGACTACTCTGATATCCTTCTATGAAGGCATGACCAAATGGGCTGATGAAGGGAGAGCAGTGGATGTCATATACCTTGACTTCAGTAAGGCTTTTGATACTGTCCTCCATAACATCCTCATAGGAAGACTCAAGAAATGTGGGATAGATGATTGGACTGTGAGGTGGATTGCAAACGGACTCAGGAATAGAGTTCATAGGGTTGTGATCAGTGGCACAGACTGGAGGCCTGTAGCCAGTGGTGTTCCCCAGGGATAAGTGCTGGGTCCAGTTTTGTTCAATAATTTCATCAATGACCTGGATGAGGGGACAGAGTGCACCCTCAGCAAGTTCACTGGTGACACAAAACTGGGCGAGGGCTGTGGATTGGAAATTTTCTGAAGTTCTAAATGTATTCCAGCAGAAATTG